ATATTATCTCTGCCCTTACTGATACTGGGTACAAGTAGTATTGGTGCTAATGTATGTGTATTTCAGCACAAAAAACCATAACAACGAACCACCAGTAGAACAGGCTTACAGAGGAGAATTGTATTCATTAGAAAGGATTAAAAAGTCTAAGCTGCTCTCTTGCTTTGTAATCTTAAAAATTGCGTGCACACAAAGCATAGAAGGGTGATTGCAGGAGTCTCATTTTTTCTTTTTTATAGCAAAAGCATCATGTAGCTCGAGCAGGGGAGGAAGACGGGTGTGAATGATGTTTCCAGCTTTGTATTTTACTTTATGTGTGAACTTCGGGCAAAATTGCTTGTTGTCCTTTTACAGGCTGTGTTTCTGCCACTATCCAATCCTGCTCCCTTCCTTGTGTTGGAGCTTGTGCTGTCTTAGCCATTTGGTGATATCTCAGCTCTCTCAAGCTGGTAGGAAGAAAACATAGCAACCCTCTACCCAAAAACCACCAGCAAATGCCAGAATTCTGCCAACTGACCTAGCTGATATAACTTACTGAGGGGTTAGGGTGCCAGTGCTGTCCCAGTGCAGGGGGTAGGATTACTTGCCAAAAATGCGGCAGTTCTCTGTAAGCATTGATTCCAGCTGGCTTCAATCATGGGCTACCATAAACCTGTGCCCTGTTTTGAGCAGGGGTGATACTTGCTTCCTGGTAAAATTCAGTGACTGTTTTTGAGGTCTTGGATGAATGGAAGAAACAAAGTTCATGCTACCTGCAAATACCAATACAGTGTGGGATGTATTGTCTTAGAGTCTACGAAGTCTTGAATGCCTACTGATAGGAGCTCTCTTTTTTTTTAAAGTAATTGTGACAAAAGTGCCTGTTACTTGCCTAGGAATTACGTCAAAGGGCCTATTTTGGTGGCTGAAGTTTTAACAGAATGTAATGCAAGTGAGACTTTAATCACTGTCAGTTATTTGGAGAGCTGAAGTGTCCTGAACTATTTTCGTTGTAACTTAGCAGTGGAAATTACTTTTTTTGACATTACAAACTACTAGGCATGTAGGAATTGTATTTTACTTCTGTTAAACTTTGACTGGAAATCAAATGGGTAAAATGTAGACCATTACTGGGAAGGCAATGCTAAGGAATTGTGTGTAAGTGGAAACTGGATTGTTTATACAATATCATAGCAAACAGCGTATCTGATGGATAGATGGTAAATGCTATAATGACTTAGTGTCAGTCTGCTGAAGTTTGAAGAATGAAAGCATTAGTGGATCACAATAGTGTGCTTTAGGCAAGGTACTGGGAGAGTCTTCCCCAACTCTTGTGATGTAATTGTCATAAAATGAGCGCAAAGTGGCATTCAGTAGATCTTGTTCTGATAGTGTTTCTGCACAACTTTGAAAATAAATAGTAAGAAAATATATCTGTTACAAAAGAATGTGCAGTTTTGTTTTACAGTATTTGCAAAGATCTGTGTTTTTTTGCATGTATTGCTGTAAAAAGATTTTTAAAAGCAGAATTTCCTAGAAATGTGCTCATTCTGAGTGTAGCAGGAAAAGCTATGTGCAAAAAGAGTATCGTAATTCGGAGTGTTAGAGCTTCAGCATTAGTAGCGGTTGGCGTTTGTGCTCAGCTTCCTGAAACATGGATTTAAGAGGAGGAGGGTTGTCCTGGTATCTGTACCAAGATGAGATTTAACAGGCTTGATCAAAACTGAGTTTGATTGTTTGGCTTTGGCAAGAATGAAAGGTGAAGCATTTGCTCTTCCCAAGCATGCTTGCGTAGCCTTCAGTGGGAGCACCTTTAATAAGTATGATTACCTTCCCTTCAGCTGAAAGATTTAGTTGACTGTAATTTATATACAGTTGACTCTATGGAATTTATATACAGATGATGCACAGTAGACACTTTCTTACATATACATTAACAAGAGAATTCTTTGGTGGGGATGCCAACAAAAAGGTTGAAAACCACCATTCTTTGGGTTCACTTTATACTAGTTTCCCTGGCGTTTGATGTGGACTTTAAATGTTACAGGGAAGTGGACTGCTAGGTTCCATGTTTCAGCATAACAGATGTCCTTCCAAGTAAAATTACGGTAAGAGTGGGATGATTGCAACCACTAGGTAATACTGTATAATTATACTTACACATGCTGGGTCCTTCAGAGAAGACCTGAAAGTAATTATTTTTAATGAGAAGTGATCTGCAGTTTTGTCTGCGTTACAAAAACTGTAAGCACTTTTTGTAGGCTAGTGAATCTCTACTTGTATTTCAGTGCTGAAAGCTAGAGTGTGAAAGCAGAAGTGGTGAAGGTACATGCCGGTTCAACCAAAGCTAAATTAAGGGGAGGGGGTGTATGTACACACATGAATTTGGAAGTATGGATGCATTTGAAGTGAAAGTTGATGTTCTTTCCAGTAAGAGGCAGCCTGCAGGCCCCCAGTGCCATTGGGTTTTTTTCCCTTTACTTAAGTGGAATTCCTTTCTCTTAATCTGCACTTCCTTTGAGATCAAGTCTGAGTTCTCTGACCTTTTCTGTTCATTTTCTGTACCTTTTCAGCTTTATATGGCTTCTGTTTAAGTCATCCCCCAGAATGCATGTCCTTGTGTTCTTCTGCAGTCATTGACTACTAATACTTCTAATAGTTGTTGGGTTTTTTAAATACATTTTACCTAAATATTCACAGAATGCTCTTGCTGGTTTTCCAGTCCTCTTTCTTTCTTTCCTCCTCCTTATTGCCATTCAGAATGGTGAGAGGGTTACAGGGTCTTCTTTCCTCCTGATTTCTCTACAGACTGCAAGGAGTAGCAGTGTATTTGTAGGGATGTGGGGGTGTGGGGGTGCTGTTTGAGTGGAAGGGGGTATCCACCTTCCTTAAGGCTTTTACCCCACAAATCGAAAATGCTGAGACTGAAATGAAGCTTGAACCTCTTTCGGGTTTTGTAAGTTCAGAGGCAGAATCTGACAAAATAGACATTGAAAGGGGAGCTGAGATGCGAATGAGAAGGAAATGCAGGTAGATATTAAGGGAAGAGACTGAAAATTTTCAAGTAAATGAGAGTTCTTATTTAGAAAGGAGGATACACAGAAGAAAGTATGGGAGAAAAGAAGAGTCTTGCTACAGTGAAATGCTAGTACAGCAAAATATACCTGTCGGTTATGATGCGGCAGAGTTAATGCCACTAAAAGTCCACGGGACTTCAGTGGAAAATAATGCTTTGTACTCGAAGACAGCTAGTTTGCTGTAGAATATTTCTGGGGAGATTTGTGTCAAACTGCTTTTTTTTGATGCTGGTCAGGTGATTAAACATGCTGCTCTGGGGAACTTTCCTCATACTAAGCAATGTAAATGGCAGGTTGGTTGTTTTTTAACTCATTCTTAATGGATTCTGTTGTCCTGATACGTAATCAAGTATGAAACTGGAAAAAATAAAAGCAGTTCTATTTAAGTTAGTAGTATTGCTAAGTGTGTGTGTGTGGGAAAGTCCAAGAAACTGGTGAATCTTGTAATTCTGTTGCATCAAGTTTGAGTGTTTTGTGAAACCTGACGATAAACTTTTTGACAGCACTTTCTGATTTTTCTAATTTTGCACAAATTATTCTTTTACTTCTGTTGTGTACTAGGTGCTGCTAGAAATCTTGGCACAGAGCTGTTTTTAGTATAACTTTAAAAAGCAAACTATTTATGCTTTATACAGTCACGTAACATAGGTTTATCGGTGCAGCTATACTGATAAACCAAAGTTAGATTCCTGCCGTAATGTATTCTGTAACTAAAGTAGTGCATGTGTAATTATGACTCTTTTTTGCTTCATAAACTTTATTTACAAAATTCTGTAAAACTGTGTTAAACCGTTTAACACTCTCTTCGTTTAGGTAAGACAGCATCTCAAGATGTAGAAGAGGAAGTGACTCAAGTATCAGATATTAACAGTTAATAAGAAAGTCTGGTTTCATAGACATTTTCCTGTCTTGCCGTTGGACCGTATTTCCAGTGAAAAATGGGCACTTGCAGGAAGAGAAGTGGTAAAACTGTAAATATTTGCAGAAAATCAGATGATTGAAGATATTTGGGTTAAAATATGGGGATTTTTTTCTAAAAATATTAGGAAAGTAGTTGCAAACAGTACTCTTAGAGGCACATGTTGGGCTTGCTTGTGAGTGTGATGCAGTGATTTATATTCCTGGAAGTACACAGACATACAAGGAAAAACTTGAGAAGCATCTTCAATGACACTTTATTTTCTGTGCTGTTTATGTACAAGATCCTTTTAAAAACTGAGATTTGGGTTTTATTCCTGCCAGTCATACTAACTATAGGTGCATTTTTGGTGTGTGAATACATAATTCAGAAGTGATTGGACCCAACTGTCAGCTTGTCGTAGACTCTGAAGAATTAGCAGCAAGTGAGCAAATAAATAAATGTGAGCTAGCTGTCTAATACAGAAGGCCTTTTGCCACTTCTGTCGCATTTGGACTGCTGACAGTTGGTGAATTTAGTGCTGGTAAAGGACTGGAATCTCAGGCTTGAAATGCCAGTAGTAATAGACTGTAAGTATTTGCATCCCTTGGCTAGATATTTCAAGAAAGAAATAGGAAGAAACCAAGAGTGATAGATGGTAGATAGATGATAAGTGATTGATAGGTGACATGGAGGGAGAATTCCCACACATGTGAACTCCTGCAGTGGGTTATGGATTTGCACATCATAGGGGATGGAAATATTTTGAGAGCATGCTCTGCAACAGGGAATGTTTCGTTCCTGAGACGTTCTGTAGCCAATTGAGGGTTGTGATGCTTTGAAACTTATTTCTGCAGTGACTGTCTCTTGCTTGTAGCTACAGTTTTAATGTTGATGAGTAGTGGAATTGCTGCTTTTTCCTCTCTTACTTTTTCTTCCAATAAACTTTACCCCATTTCCAGTTCCATCTTAGTTACTGAGATTTTGAGCTTTCCCTATACTTGAGTAAATGCTTTTTTCTTTTTTTTTTTTTCCCTGATTCAGTTACTGAAATCATGAATCCTGTGTATAGCCCTGGATCTTCTGGGGTTCCCTATGCAAATGCCAAAGGAATTGGTTATCCAGGTAGGTAACACTGTTTTTTAATGAGTTTCAGTTACACTGATCTTGCTTTGTAATCAAGCAGAAATAGTCACTTATGAACAGCTTCATGTATGGTGATCTGTTTTGGGGATTTGGGTGGGGTTTTTTTTAAATTTAAAAAGTGATGTTTCAAGAGTGATGTTATATTTCTATATAACATCTAATTCTGTTATATTTCTAACTTTGGTATCTCTTCCAAAGCGGATTATTTTAGGAGCTCCAATAATTACGCCCTGCAAGAAGAGGAGTCAGTCTATTTCTGCTGCGGGTTGCCTGGCGCAGTTAACCTTTCTATCCTCTAATTCTTGTTCATGCAATTTGTTTTATGACTGCCCAAAGCATAGCAGCAAAGATGGGACCAAGAAAATGGCCAAAAAATGTTTTTTAAAACAGAAATTAAATGTATTTCTTGCTTTCTCTGCTTCTCATTTGGCTTCAGGTTTCTTACCAGGAATTTTTCCCCTCATCTCCTAATGTATGTGTGAGGAGGCTTCAGTTCTGATGTCGCCATAGTTCAGAAGTGGCATAAGGCAATAATTAGATTTGGTCAAAACTTTCCAGGAAGACTGACGAGAAGGGCTATGTGTCTCTGTGAGGGATTTCAAGCAGTGTGTCTTGATACAGTCTTTTTTTTTTTTCCTGATATCTGTGGGGTAAGGGAATTATTCCATCCTGGGAGGGGATGGAAGGTCTTTCACTTCAGATTTTATGTATCATAACCAGTTAAACTGCTGTAGCTTTTACAGGGAGGCTGTTTTGTGATTTGGCGAAATCATTTGGCACCATTACTGTTTATATTCTTTCTAGCTGTACTACACTTTCCTGCTGGTATTTACGGTTTTTAGATTTGTTTTTCAGCTTAGGTAGTGTACTGGAGTTCCTATTTTCCTGTTCCACTTTTCTCTGTTCCTTCTTCTAAATACTGGTGCATAAATGAATTTTCTTTACTGTTGACTTGATTGTCTCAAACCTTTTAATTTCTATTTTTGCTTTTCAGATACTTTTTATTTTTTTCCTCAAACTAGTGTACCTTTCTTGATCTCTACAGTGTTTACAAGGGGAAAACACACACTATGTTGCAATGTTTTTAAGTCTATTGAGTGACTGAAATGGTGCAGTAATAAATTGTAAAGCTAATGCTGTGTAACTGTAAGTCCCGCAGGATGGTTTTATTCTCTGTAACTGTTTTAGTTATATGGACTACAGTAATTTCAGAAGGCAAGCAGCAGTGGTTTACTAATTAATATAAATTACAGTACAATTATTTCTTTATTTGTAATAGATTGCTTTTTCAAGGCTTTGTTTTGCTTTAGATAAAGACTATTATGAATTATTTAAATATAACTTTGTATTTTTAGCTCTGTTTGTTTTCTAAACACGGATTTATATTAACCAGGGTTTCATTTGTACTTACAACCATTTACACATTGCATTGAAGCTCTTGTTGATACTAATCTAGGTCGTACCTTAATTGACTTAGGAAAATATACTATTGTGGATTCAGAAATAGCAATTTAAACATTACAACTTCTAATTTTTTATTCCACTGTTATACATATTAGACTACATACTGAATTATGTAAATATTGTGTATTTGCCAGTCCTCACTTGGTTATAAATTAGCATAACTAAAATATATGGAATTGAAGTAGAATTGTTTTAGAAGTGCCTTAAATGTCATGCTACAAGTTGATCGCTCAAAATTCTTCCTCAGGGCAGTCCATGGGTTTATACAACTCTGGCCCTTAAATTCAGCCTAGTCAATAAGGTCTGCAGTGTTACACTGTTACAGGTGGTTTGCTGAGCTGCCTGCTTCAGGCATAAAGATTGTGGGATAAACACAAAACACATTCTTTAAAATGAGAAGTGGACTTGCTTTTTAGGATTTTTTTTTTTAAAAAGAACCTGTTGCGTGTCTAAGTCTACCTTCTTTGCCTCTCCTAATGTAAAAACTACGGATTCTCGGTTCAGAATAATTGAATTTACATGGGTTGCATGGTAATTGAGAGTAATGAACGTATTGCTAAGTGGAATGTATTATTTAAAGGTACTGTGTTTCTAAAGCTGTTGCATATTTGATAGCTGTTTATATTATACTACACCTGTTTGAGGCTGTTGGATGGGTTTACAGTAGCAAGGAATCAATACTCAAATGTTCTCATATGGATAAAAGTTCTGTCTAGAAGTTAAAACTGCTGCTTGTCGTAGTTAGTTTTTCACAAACAGCTTGTTTCTTGAGCAGCTCAGTGCTCTACTGTGGAGCTGAACCTGTGAAGAAAGAACAGAAAACTGAAAATGTATACTATATATATAATGTTGCAGATGTATAGTCAGTTTGAGTAAGGTGTAAAGCTGTACTAAAACTTTTCACTAGCAGCTTGTGAATTTGAAAGCTTAAGAGCTATTTACACTCTGAAAAGTTGTTATGAATTGGATATGTTATTTTTACCTTTGATTTTTAAGCCTAATGCTTTTCTTAGTCTTATCCATGCTGACCACCTAATAGTAGTGCCAAGTGTATGTCACTTGATACGTTTACAGAGTGCTTTACGAAACTAGGTTAGCGTATATAGTCCTGAGCTAAGGAATTTGTATTGTTAGGAGTAATTGCTAAGGACTCTGGGATTTATAGCGAAATAGAAACCCTTCAAATTTGAATAGCGGTTTAAAACTAGCAGCTTTAAGCCTGACAGTGAATATGCAAATAGTAATTGCCTTTTATCTGGAGAAGTTGAAATCTTTATATGTTGATAACAAAATGTGATAGTAACTCTGTCTTTCTAAATAGAGACATTACTCAGTTTCACAGTTCAGAATAATGTAAGTTCCTGGAAAAAATAATAACTGTGATTAATTCAGAAATTTCAGTTATTACAATCTAAACTCACATCTTTCAAGTAACTATAGCTTTTGCTAATGCTGTTTTTTTGACTTATTTTGAAGGCCAGTATATCACAATGTTAGTTCGGCCATAGTGGTTCTTGTATTCTGGTGTAGAAGTGTTTACCTGTCGTTTTGCCAATACCTCAGTGAATTGCTTGTTACTGTTAACTGTCATAGTTCGAACCTGAAACTGGTGAGCCTGTTTGATACCTGAGTATAATAACAAATCTGTGTCAAATGCAGCAAGCATTTTTGATTACCTAGGGTTGCTTTGTACTCTCCACTCGGAATAACTGATCTGGAGAGTCAGAGTCACTCTGACTTTTAGGAATTTATTTCTATGAAAAAGTCCCTTTTCTTCAGATCAATATTTTATGTACATCAGGTCCTAAAACTTGGGGCAGGGAGAGGAAGGTTGGATAGTTGCACAAAACTTCCTCCAACTAACTGAGGAGTTACTTGGCCAACTCTGATATTTGCTGAAACAGGGCTGTAAAGGAGAATGGCACTTGTGACTCCTCAGCTGTTCCCTTCATGTAGCATTCAGCTTGAGGTGGCTTGGGAGAAGAGAAGCCAGGTGTTTCAGTTGAGGAGGTGTGATTAAAGGCCATCTGTTAGCTTATCTCAATTAAAAGATGTACAGCAAGAATCTTTGAGTAGAGTCTGGTTAGGCTGTGCAATCAGTCTAGAAAATAACTTTGGCACATTCTTTCTTCTAGCTGGCTTCCCAATGGGCTATGCAGCGGCTGCTCCTGCCTATTCCCCTAATATGTACCCTGGAGCAAATCCTACCTTCCAAACAGGTATGTGTACTAAGTATGTCAGAGCTGTAACCTGAAGTTTGAAAGTTGTTGGAACCAAGAATGAGAAGAAGCTGTAGAGGCTTACAGTAACACACTGTGGGATAAGTTTTACGTTACTTTGAATATGACTCATAAGGAGTCATCTGATAAATTAAAATTAGTATAATCTTGTCTTAAGTCATACTGCTTTCACGTTCAGAGAACAGAAAAGCTGAGTTTTTAGCTATTGTTGCTATATTTCAGGCTGAAACTTGAGGATTGCGTCACGTTTCCCTTTACTGCTTCCTTTGTGATTCTGCTTGCTTTGCATCCTATTGGTTGTTTCCAGATTCCCTTTTTTCTTCTGTCTGTTGTTTTCAAAATTATTCTTTTTCATCCTTTTCTTAAATCATACCTTTACAAGTGTAGCTTGCTGTCTTCTTTCTGCCCTTAAAATTATCTTGCATGAACTGATTGTCTGGAAAGCCTGATTGCTGGGTAAAACTCTTTTGTCCATAGTGGATATTGGGGGTGTTTTTAGGTAACTGCACTTGCATGCTTCTCACTTCAGAGAAAGAGAATGTGATGAGCCTGGGAAAAGGGAGACAGAAAAACAGACACAAGAGAAACCAAAGCACTCACCTAAGTTGTTTTTGTGTAGTTCTGCTTTTGCTAATAGAAGATGATTTTGATGTGCTAATGCTTGAAACAAAACAGAAACTGGTAGCATTTAATTTCCACTTAAACCAGGAACATATATCTGATCGAACAGTATTCTCTCTGTGGTTATTTTGCATGCTAAGGAGTTCCTTATGTTGCTTTGTTAATGTAGATCTGGGCCATCTTCAGGAACTCTTTCACTTGCATGTATTATGCCAGTTTTTCAGAGAGATGCATGGTACATAACCAAATTTGTCCCTGAATGCTCATGTAACTTACAGGGATAGGAAAGGATGCTGCTTGAAATTGGGAAGCTTGTGTTGTGGAAACCTGCTTGCAGTAGTGAAGTTCAGTGTTTGTAACATACAGCATTTCATTAACTACCGGGAGACTCTTAAAAGGGTGTGGCAGCAATTACTGAGGCAAGAGAAAGTCATCTAAAATGTTTGCCTGCAGAACCTGTTAAAAGCGGATAGCTTTCCTTGGAACTGTGGAGTATTCTAGTTGGTACAGCCTGTCTCTGTTCAGTTTGCTGCTTAGAGGCATGGCGAGTGCAGAACTGATTTTGGCTGATCTTCGATCTTGAATTTAAGGTAGGGAAACAGATGCCTATTACAAGTTCCAGTAATTTAAAAAAAAAAAATAAATCTGTCCTTTGGATAGGGTATTGCCTCTTTGCAAGTATCTAGGGGTACCAGCTTGCATTTGCACTGGATTGCTTCAGAACTTTTTGGAGTGATGGTCAAGGGAGAGCAGTTCCCATCAGGGGTATGACTCTTAGCATTGGAATCAAAACCCTATGTGGGCTTTTATTATCGGCTTGTATTACTAATAGACTGTTCAGTTTCACGTTTGAGATTACCTTAGTGATGTGGCTCTGCCTTCTGTGCTCCATTGTTTATATCATCAGGATTCCTGCAGCTGTGCTGAGGAGTAGCTGTAGTTTTTGACCGTAGGATCAGATAACTGAGAGGTAGTTCCAGTCTCGGTACCAGTTGCAGTTTGCAAATCCTACTGCGGGAAGATGAACATAAGCTGCATGTAATCAATTTAGCAAATCACAAGACCAATGGTTTTATCCAGTTGATTGGGTTTTTTCCTCCATGTCAGTTATGTTGTAATAGAAGGTTATGGTTTCTGGGGAAGATTCTTGACTTGACTTAATTGTGTTGTAAGATTAGTTTACTTTGATCAATCTCAGAATATATCTCATGCTATGTAACAAAGTTAGAGTAAGAAATTTTTCAGTTTCATGTGAAAAAGGAATAAAGACGTATAGAAGTCATATACCATCTTCAAATGTTCTTAATTTTTTTTTTTAAGCTGGTGCTATTAGAGTTTTTATTGCTGTTGACTAGGAAATAAGCTTTTATTTCAGAACTAAGAATAGCTTTAAATTTTGGCTGCTATTTAAGCTATGAATTAATGTTCAAAATGTCCAGATCTTCTAATTTGGATAGATAACAACTTGAAGTACTTTGTTGTAACAGCAGGGATATTTTTTTAACTTTTCTGATTGTAAGTACTTATTTGTAGAATCAAACGTTTTGTAAAATTACATCACGCAGCAGTATTTGAAGGTGCCACTGCTGTTCAGAAAGGGTACCTTTTTACAGGTATCTTTCTTAAATTTCTGTGGTTTTTAATAACCATGTGGTTTACTTTTAAGGTCTTTGGTCCCTGTAAGGGACAAAAAAAATTAAATGCCAAGGTAGAACACCTCTTGTCCAGATGTACCGCTTTGCAAGAGTACAAGTTAAATTTCCTGTGCAGCTGTATCCAGCTGAGAGTGGGTTTGACTGAGAACATAGTTGTAGTTCAGTAGTGATGCTTTGTGTTCAGCATTTGGTAGCTGAGTTTTTCAACACAAATAGGTCCCCATTGTAGAAATAGAAGTTACTTCCTCAGCATGCTCTATTCGTCAAATGCTTAGAATCTCTAAAAACGAGAGTTCAGATTAAGTGCTGTGGGAGCTTTCTTTAGTGTCTCCTAAAAGTGATAAATTCTATTAAAAAAAAGAAAAAAACAACCAAGACGTAGTAAACCTATTACTTCGTTAACATAGCAAAAAGAATGAAGGTCATCTGTCATCATGCTGTTTGCGCAGACTCATTTTTTTCACAATGCAAATGCCAGTGTTCTCTCTGCTATATGGCTTCAGAGCTTCAGATTTGTTTTCTGTATTGAAGATGACACATTCTAGACAGTTTTTAAAGTCAACCTAATTATTCTGATAGTATCTTTCTTTTTTTCTGTAATTACGAGGTGTTTTTTCTCATGTTGCCCTAGTACTAGTTTGTACAGTTCCAACTAAATAAAAATTGTCTCTGTGGATGTTTGGTCTCCTAGTGTGGTGAACCTGCAGGAAACCCAGCATAGCATAGGCTAGGGCCTGGATGCTTTCTCCAGAACGGGTCGTGCCTGTTGTTTACTACCCTACATGTTGTTTCTGGTGGATGCTGCTGCTAAGGTATTTGTATTCCCACTCTGGCCATTAAGCTATAGTATAATTGTGGGAGTGTAGCGTGCAGCAGCAGTGGTACATCTCATAGATCTCCTCCATCTCCTCCATCAAGCCCTTGTTCTGTTATCCTGAGACCTTGTCGGATGAGGGCTGGAGGAATTACAGAGGAGCTGTCTTTAGGCAGGATCTGAGCCAGCACTTGCTACTTATACCTGTAAAAATTGAACAGTTCCCAGCATTTACAAGGCAGACTGATCTGGGGGGCCTTGTAATAGGAATGCAAAATTCTTTCTGATGTCATCTGAAGTCTTACTATAACGTACAAAAGTAATTCTTAAGTGATAATCAAGTGTATGTCTAAGTATGTAATACACAAAAAGAAAATTTAAAGATGTTAAAGTGCCTTTGAAGTCTAATTTGCAGTTGCAATGAACTCTACAGTGCTTGTGCTTTAAAGGTGTGGCTTTTCGTATTTATTTTAGCCAGTTCAGAAAATGCCAGAAAACAAATATGAATAAATGTAAGTTGAAGCAAGGTTGCAGATTATGTGTCTCAGTTCTCTGAAAAACCTATCTTGAGCTCTTAACAATTTCAAAAATCAGAATCGTGTAATTCTTGTGCTGTTTCATCTCCTACAGAAAGGAACTGCAGGTTAGTTAACCGTTACTATGTTTTACCAGTACAATTTGGGCTGTGTTGAGAGCTGGGCTCATATTAACATGTGCCAAATCCTCCTAAGTAGGAATGCTGCCTAATATACCGAATCCAAGTATTTAATGGTATTACTACAGAAATCCAAATCCACTTTTTTAATCCCGTATCCATAGATTTGGAAAGCAAATTGTGAAAAAATACAGTTAACTTTTCATGCTTAGTTGACACAGTCAAGTATTTTTTTTTTTTCTGACAGTTACCAGTATTACGTAAACGATAGAACTTGTGCTTGGATATTGAGACTAGCCTACTAAGTACTCACGTGAAGATTAAGGAATTTGGAAATTAAGAAAATTGTTACCCCTGACTTTAGAAAGCAGTGTACTGACTCTTGTTTTTCATGTTTTTAATGCAGATTTACCTTTGTTTCAGGTTATACACCAGGAACCCCGTATAAAGTATCTTGTTCACCCACTAGTGGAGCAGTGCCCCCATATTCTTCGTCACCGAATCCCTATCAGACTGCTGTGTACCCAGTTCGAAGTGCCTATCCACAGCAGAATCCATATGCACAGGTGAATGAACAAAACCAAAAAACTGTCTGTTTGGATACTGTTTTGTTTACCTTGTAATATCTGCTTGAACTCTGAACTGTTATATCACATCTGGAGCGAATGTTTAGCTGCCTATAGTAGGAGTTCTTAATACAGTGATTTACAGAGTGTGTGTGTGCACTTATGCATTCTATCTCACATGACACTTACTTTGCACTTACTGATAATGTGTTCGGTCTTTGAAGAGACACTAGATTCAGTAGTTTTAAAAATGTGTGCTGAATGCTGTAACTACCACATCCTGATTTTGTTTTGTCAAAAATTGTCATAAACTTGCATTGATTTTTTGAAGAAGCCTCTGTTTTGATTCAGGGAGTTACCAAGTCTCATACTAGGCAAACTGTTGAAAACTAGTAGAAAGAATAGAATTAAGACCCTTTAGCAAACGTGGTATTTTGGGGAAAAGTTGGCCGCTGCCTTGCATAGATGAAACTTGTCTGATATGTACAGGGTAGTTGAAGGGAATAAATAAGCACGTAACAGGGTTTATCCAGTCTGCTTAGTGTATTTGGATTTGTAAAAAACCTTTGGTTCTTTAACTAAAAGCAGCTGAATAAAAAGTTGTGGAAGAGAGAGAAGTTCTGTCATGGATTAATATATGAAAAGATAGGAAATGAAGGGAACGAATGACGAGTGAATGAAGAATGAGCCCTTACTGTTGAAGGTACAGTCAGCATTGGAATTCTACAAAGGTCCCTGCTTCAAATGTTATCCTAAATGAGTTACTTTTTTTTCCTCCAACAGCAAGGCACTTACTACACACAGCCTTTATATGCAGCACCACCCCACGTAATTCACCACACCACAGTTGTGCAGCCTAACGGCATGCCAGCGACTATGTATCCTGCTCCGATTCCACCACCGAGAGGAAACGGTGTGACTATGGGGATGGTGGCTGGGACTACTATGGCAATGTCAGCAGGTACGTGAACTTAAAACCCTTATGTTCTATTGATGAAGATCTCCTTTTGATTGGAGTCAGAATGCAGCTGCATTACAAACATGTGATGCCAGAGATGTGCCTGGCAGAATCGGAAAATTGTTTAGATTAGAAGGGACTTCTGTAGGTCATCTCCAGCATCTTCAAAATGGGTCCCGCTAGATTGGGTTGTGTACTTACTGAGTGATATTTTCATCATCTCTAAGGATGAAGATACCATGTCCTCTTTTCAGATATTAGTACTATGGTAAAGTACTTTTTCTTTATATCTGTATGGAATTTCACTTAGTCTTGCAGCCTTTGCTTCTCGTCTTACCAGTGTCAAGAGTCTGTCTTCCTCTTCTCAATACATTTCTCTGTGCCTAGTTGAAAACAGCAACCTCTTAAGGCTAAGGAAAATGCAGTGTTTTCAGCCCACCCGTCATATTGCTGACCTTCTTTGTGTGTTAACATTTTATGTGTTTGCACTTACCTGCAGGTCTTCTGTGTCACAGGCATTGGTTAGGAACGTCTGCTTCCTAATGTCGTGCTCTTTTAGTGGTGGTGTTTTGGAGAAAATGTTGTTTAACCAATAATCTAGACTGTTTATTGAGGTGAGGGGTCTCATGCTTTGTTACTCCGTGGGTGTGAACTCATGAAGAAAAGTCCACATTCAGTGAAAGGGTGCTCAATTCAGTAATCTAAAAAATGAAAACCATGAGCTTGCTTTCAGATTCTGGGTTTTATCTTGTCAAATTTATCATTTAATTTGAGGAACCTCAAAACTGGAGAAGTTATGTGTCACAAACTGAGCTAACATTAGAGTTTTGTATGTGGGCAAGCTTATCTCAGGTGTTTGTTTCTACAAAGTGCTGTAGAGCAAGACTTAAGATCCTGCTATCTCAGTGTGTTTGTTTCTGAAGCCCCTTAGTCTGTAAAAAAACCCTATCTGTAATAATGCAAACAAGAACTAGTTTATTCTGATGTATCAGTCAAGTTATCTCTACCATCAAGTATTCTTATGGCATGTAAAGCCTGCTGTGGGAAAAAGTTTTGCAGTGAGTAATGCTTATGTTGCAGGTTTTCTGCTAGAGCTGTTTTTGAGTAATGAGTATCTTTGTGTGCATTGGACAAAACATCAAAATGATCCCCTTGCATAAATGTTTGAAGGAAGATTGAGGTTGGAGTGCAAAAATGATACTGGTAATTTTAAATTGGAAGATGAGCAAGCTGTCACTGTTTTTAAAATTAACTCTTTTTTTCTTCTCCCCTTCTTTTTTGCTCTGTGCTAGAATTTGTGCTTACTGAAAAAAATGTTCTCTTCATCCTAGGTACTTTGTTGACAACTCATTCCCCAACTCCAGTAGCCCCTCATCCAGTTACTATGCCCACATATCGGGCTCCAGGAACACCAACCTATAGTTATGTGCCCCCACAGTGGTGATCATCCTGGCAGTCAGTGTAAGTTACCGATTTAGAGTGAAAGCAGTTAATCTTTCTTATAAATTACAGCATTGCAGGTTCTTTCAGAGACTCTTCAGAAGGTAAGCAGTCTGGGGTACTTCTACAGTATTCTAATTGAGTAAGAATACACGAAAATTATTGCTTATGTAATAGCTGTTCCCTGCAAAGGAGAGAAGCCTAGTGGGACTTCTTCAGTGGTCTGTATCTTCAGAAATCATGAGTCATTTTTATCGTTCATGTTTGTTGAATTTGAAAGAATGAGCCCCAAGTTTGCCTTAAAGTACATCTGGGACTAAATGTATCCAGTATTTTGGATTCGTTGGTAATTGGTGAATTTAGGAGTACTGTGATTCCTGAATGAAACAATGAGTCTAACTTGGTAGTCTTATTTTTGATTGCCTACATATGTAGGCAAGGTAAGCATTTTGCCTTGCTCTGGGGGTGAATCTTTCTCACAGGGTGCTGAAACAAATTCACAACCTTGACTTAATGTCATATATTCACTCCGTTTCAGGTAAATATCAGTTCATACTTTTTGCAGTGAACATAGAAAAATCACTTCTAGTGTAGACCAAAATTTAGATTATGGGTTGCAAGAAAAGAGTTTAATTTTGAAATCTGCTATCAGGTGGGATGGATTTTGGGGGTGTAATATGTGTCAAACTGACACAAAGCCCAGTGTTTTTGGGATCCTCGCTTCTGTTTCTGTGGGTTTTTTTAGCATAAATTGAGAACAACTTCATTTGAAATATGGATTTATCAGACCAACTGAACTAGAAATTTTCACTTTTAGTCCATTTAGTTTATGACAAAGTTAACTTTGTTTTAACTTTCTCTGGACTTCTGTTTCAGCAGTTAGGAGTCCAGAGCTCTGTGATTACAGGTGACTTACTCCCTTTGAGTTAGTAATGCAACAGCCATTTCTCATTTTGCTGTGATGCTGCATACCAGTCTGCAGGTCTGAAATGTTTCACATAGAATATTTCATCCAAGAGTGTCGTATTACATGAGTATAAAAAGTGAGTTTTGCTGTGACTAAACTCATGACTGCTGATAATTAAATTTAGCATAAAATACCTTTTTAATATTACACCTTCTACTTAAGACAAAACTACTAGTAATGACAGAGCTGGAATGGACATGTCAGGAGAAAATCACTGTAGTGAATTCTTAACCGAGAAGCCTATAGATTTCAGTTGACTGGATGAGTGCTAGGGTAGCATTATGTAATACTTAATGTCCATTGTGTGTGCGTGTCAATGTGGTGCATGTAGTGTGAGGATGTTCTGCCATACTCGAATAGTATTTCACATAATTGAGAATATTTCTGACTTCCCCCACTCCCCCCCCCCTCTTAACGTAGGTTTGAAGATGGGAGATATGCAATCAAGAAATTGAGGTTTAAAAGTTGGTGCTGAAGCCCTCATGCCTCCAACCAGGACTTTTCTTCTGAATGCTTTCAACACTTGGCTAAACACTACTAATTCCTGATCACTGAAGATTTTCCAGTGCTGCATATCTTACATCTTGGAACTCCAGCAGTTAGTCTTAAAGCAAATCCTGTTTTGTGGACTGTCTTGCAATTTTTTAGCTAATTATAATGATAAAAAGGGAGTATAAATTTATTCTGATCCATATCTAGTTGAATGCATGTTAAAACACAAAAACAAAGCTTGCTCAATCTACCTGCAGTGACTGATGCAAAAACCATCATATGCAAATCCAAAGGAACCGAAAAGTGTTTTACAACTTGTATCACTAATGCACTGTTGTAATGTATGCAGGGTCTTAAAAGGTAGAATCATGAAAGTGAGTTTCTTTATAGAGTACCATCATATACATTAGATAAGTGCTTCAACCTTTTTCAGGTTGATGGAGTTGCCAGTTTAAAAGGGCCATATTTTTATTTAAGTGATGTATTCTTTTCAAATTAAACTACTAAATTGGAGTGACTGGAAAATGAGTCAGACAAGCTGTAGAAATCCTGCACACGATTAGTTTACTTCATACCTTTTCATTTTCATTAAACAGATTCAGTGTTATACAGATGTTCTTAAGGATCAGAATGAAATGACAAAGGTAATGCTCTGTGTGCCAGTAAATAAAGCAAACTTCCTTGAGGCAAAACTGGCTCTTAGGAATAGTAGGAGGTGACATCACCTGCATAATGAATTGTATGTCCTGGGGAGATATATATCCAGTACTATCTTTCAGATGATGCAAGATGTGTCAAAGTGAGACTGCCACACAGACTGATAGAAAAACACTTGCTTTTAGTTCTCAGTTCAGGAAATCTGTGCTGTGTTTCCTAAAGAATGTTGTAGTCAGTTGAAAATGTATGTGCAGTTGATCGGGCTTGCTTTCCTGAAACTTAAATTCTAGGGCTTTCTACAATGAACAGGCGTTCAGCTGCATGTTATTCTGAGGAAAGCTTGTGTGCCTGATGAGTATGTTAAAGGGGAACAAATCATTTTAACACAATTCCCATATTAGCTACTTGCAGTAGGGACTATGGATATGCTGTGTAGTAGGGCTGCCAGAATATAGAGGTTTCAAATAGCTGTTCTTTTTTTTTTTTCCTGAAAATATTTGTAATTGGAGTAGGAGCCATTTGTTGGTTACAGCATTTTGATGCGTTTTCTTAGTATTTTCTTTTTTTACTTCCTAAATTGCACTTGGAAGCATGTAAAATAAGACTTGACTGCAGATTAGCATTTCATTGCAACGAGTCATTTCTAATATTCTTTCTTGCAACTTCAATTTTTAAAAAGTACCTCAAAGCAAATGCTGTGGGGATAAAGGGCTAGCCTTAGAACCCATTTGTATACCAAAATTGTTAGGGGGAGATTTTAAATTTTTAAATTTGACTATTGCACATTAAAATCGAGGTTTTTCTTAAACCTGCTTGACTTATGATTCCAGAAAGATGCGATTTTTTTTTTTGGATACATTCTGCCTACAATAAATTATGCAGTAAATGGTTATAAAATGTTGTTCCCTTTTAAGTGTTTACACAGAGGTATATCAGGCTGTATTGTTCTTCTAGGCTAACTTCCATTCAGAAGTCAGTTGTTTCTTGGTTTTTGTTTTCTTTTTTTTTTTTTCCTTTTTAAGTTGTTTATCTAGTTACGCTTTGTTTTGGGGTGTTCTGCTCCTATACACATTTGGCAGCTACTTCACGGTAGCATCAGTGCTGATTTAATGCTGCCATTCCAGTACTCTGCCCTGGTGGGAGGCTTATGTACCTTCGTAATCTGTTGGTGGTTAGAGCCTTCAGTAACTTTATTTTTTACAGTAAGCACTCACTCTCCATATTTTGTACTTTTTTTTTGTTTAATAAAGTTTAGGTTTATTTTGCGTGAATCACTGTCAGTGGACGGCCCCCTTATTTCTAATGCCTTGAACGTAACTGTTGTTCAAGTAAGTACTTGTACTTTAAACCTTACTCATGAGCACTTACTGCAGCTTAGGGATTTCCATATGTTTTTATATGGAGCAGAAAATTACCCCAGACAAACTTATTTGAATCTGTACTGCTTTGTTCAAGTCTGTTTAACAATCCCATTTGTGTAGTAGATTTGCAGCTTTCATTAGTCAGGTGTGCCGGAGAGTACAGTGAACGTTAATACAGGCCATTTGTCCATTTTAGCTAGTAGAGAGTGACATTTTGTTGTCTTAGCATGATTTTAACAAAGAGCTGAGGTGTGAAACAGTGCTATATTGGGGAGAAGCTATAAAGAACAAGCTCAAAGCTTTGCAGTCTCCTGTCTCATCACCCAATAAACGAAAGCTTTGAAAATCATAGGAGAGAACTTTCATGAATGCTGCAATAGATAAATAGTTAAGGAATGAATATAACTTCCTATATATTTGCTCTAACTTCGGATTCCTAAATGTCATCTTGGAATTGGTCTCTGTATAATATTCCATAACATTTAGGCAGTCTCACTTACTTGAGCACTTTTTTTTTCTAAGTTGCATTATGGGATTCATCCACGAGAGGGAAACTGTACCTTTTTTTAAAAGGTACTGCACCTTCCAGTTTTGATCGATGGTAATTTACTGGGAGGATGGAGCATGTCTCCAGTAGTAGATACAGAAAGTTACCAAAAGCACAGTGCAGGGGGACGGGGGGAATATGTGTATATATAACTATCTTAATGGTATTTTGTTGCAAATAGTAGAAAGCATGGATATAAAACTGTGGCGGGGGAAACTGTACATCATTAAATAGGCGTTTACACAGTGAGGGTCTTATGAAACATTCTCTCCTGCTTTTTATATAACATTCCCTATTTAGAATTCCTTTATAAATAAATACACAGTATGTGTTTGCACTAGAGCTCCTCAGCAAATGAAAAGAGCTAGTGCAGTAGAGACATTTCAGATCAAGCTTCTCTTTAAAAAAAAAAAAAATTAAAAAAAAAAACTTTTATGGCAGCTTTATATGATTAAAAAAAAAAGTACTACTTTAAACCTGGAACTGAAAATAATTGTTGCAGCAATAACAAAGAGAAGTCCAAGAAAGATTGACTTTTTTTTTAAATTCAAATTTCAGGTGTTGAGTTTAGATAAAGTATTTTTTAAAAACTGAGGTATTCCCTATGTCAGTAACAACTGATGATAATGTCTTTTAAATGTAGCAGCAGCAAAAGAAAAATGGCTGATAATTGGCATCAAAAACTTGTAGCCCTAGTCAGTGGTGTGGTGGTTATTAACAAAACACTGGGAAGGAAAACAGAACCTACTGCTAGATCTTGCTTATGTTTGTTGAAACCATCTCCTGTTTGAAGTTTCTAGGAGACATGCAGG